CAATGCACCAGCAAACAACCCAAGGGTGATATTTGGCTTTAGCTAAAAAAAAAAAAAAAAAATCCTCCCTCTCTCATCACTTTTCCAGACTAGATAAGGTGATAAACTAATAATATTTTTATAGGGCCTGATATGCTAAATAAATACTTGGTATTTGAATTGCTTAGTTTTTTAAATTAGCTTTCCTAAGGCTCAAATTGAGTTGACAGACTAAATTTATTTTTCTACTTATTAATTGCTAATTAAATTGGGTATTTTCAAAATAGTAATTTTCAAATCCTTTTAGAACCTTTGTTTCAAGCCTACAACAAAGATGCTAAACTACGTGACACTCTTCATTTCACTGGGAATCGCAAACATCGACTGTCCTCTGGTAGAGATTCTCCACCACCTCTGCCTCCTCCAAGAAGACAATCGTCTGTTAATACTAAGACCAGTCAACAAACTCAACTTACACCAGAACGTCGCTCACAATCTTTTCCAGAGATCGATGCTGAAGAAGTTAACAGAAAACCCAGCTTGAAAATGCAGCGTACCTTGTGGTGCGAGGTTCCTGAAGTTATCGAAAGTGGAATATTGCACCAAATTGATGACAAAGCGCGCAAGCTACAAGAGGTAAATTCTTAACCAATCTTTTCTCTGCCAGCCAAGCGTAGATGCCCAGGCTTGTAGTGTTAATGGGCTGTGAGCACTTTGTTCCAGCCCTAGGTGCAAGTATTTCATGCTACTTAAAATCACATGCTAATTCTACCATATTTTACTATGCCACTTCTAGCACATGGCTTCGTATTATTTCCACCATAAGATTTCAGATTGATAATGCATATGCGACCTATTGCTTAAATGTCTCATCCAAAAGATTGTGCACAATTAAGGAGACTAAACACAAAGGTCTGAAAGAATCTCCATAGTAAATAATTGAGGACACCCCATCTCCCCATCCACACATACTATGCTAATCATCAGTTTAGCTGAGTTACACTGCTCTCTACTACATCTTCCATAAGTTATCACTCTTCATTCATAGGATTAAATGTTATTTTTACTGTAATGTTGCATTTCCACCGGTAGCTAAACATTCTTTCTTTCAGGCTATGTTTGAAGTGATTACATCAGAAGCGTCATATCTTCGGAGTCTTGATATATTTGTAAATAATTTTATGAAAGCCGATGTGTTCAATGTTATGTATGGACTTTTACGAAAAGAAGAGCGCCATCATTTGTTCTCCAATTTACTTTCAGTAAGAGATGCCAGTGAAAGGTAAGCATTACACTCATTTTTAATTATCAATTTCCTTTCTGCCATTTTGACATCACTTCATTTAGGAACCCTATTTATAATAATATTAATATTTCTTGATATTTCGATGTATTTCAGACTTGCTGTTAATACAATTAAATAATTTAAAGAGTTTGTATATTTCAGATTACTGCTGGACTTGGAAGATCGATTCCAAGAGAATTATTTGATAAGTGATGTTTGTGACATAATAATTAAGCATGCAACACAGAGGAACTTTGATATGTATGTGACATATTGTCTTAACAACCAATACCAAATAAAGACACTAAAATCATTAAAGTAAGTCAAACAATTATTTGATAAGTGATGTTTGTGACATAATAATTAAGCATGCAACACAGAGGAACTTTGATATGTATGTGACATATTGTCTTAACAACCAATACCAAATAAAGACACTAAAATCATTAAAGGAAGTCAAACAATTATTTGATAAGTGATGTTTGTGACATAACAATTAGACATGCAATGTGACCTATTATCTCAACAACCAATACCAAGATACAATATACTATTTTCTGAACTAATACATAATTTTTTTTACACTGGCATAAATAAATAATTAAATAAACGAAATATATAAGTGAAAATGCTAAAATCATTAAAATATGCCACAGAATTATTTTTTTAGTGAAAAGGTCAACCATTTGATCTTTTAATCGGTTTTGTGGTATAATTAAAAAAAAAAAAATTCAGCCTTTAGCTTAGGTTAGTGTTAATTAAATCTGTTTACCTTGACCTTATTTATATCATCAACTTAATGTAAAATAATTTGTAATATTAAATGTAAAGTTATATATATGAACATGTATATAATATTGTTGCAATGGCTGTACTTAGACCTATAGAGTACTACAGTGTTACGTCACGATACCACGTGATACTACTCCGTTGCTATTGTTGTAAAAAGCGTTCAACCAGACGCCATTTTCCTCACTGACAAACCATTGATCCCAATTTCTAACGTAATTATTAAGATGTTGTATCTTACTTTTTCTTTGTAAATTTTAAATTAGATTAAATGTTTAGTTAGTCTTGCTAGGGATTTTGCTCAGCAGTATCACTTTATTTTCTGTCAATGATATAGACAACTCATAAAACGTGGCCACACCGGGCAAGAAATCACTAATTTTCAGTGGTTTTCGGCAGTTTTTTTTCATACGAATGACACTGTAGTCATGCCAACGATAATGTACCAAAAAGTGACAGACTTGTGTATAATTGGTCAGGCAGATTATATGAATTTATATTAAGATGGTTAATAATAATCTTGTGTCATTTTTTAGTATTCTTAATATTTATAATCGTATTGATTGTTTTGATTACTACTTTCAATTGTTGCATATTATCTTTATAGAGAAAATCCAGTGTTTGTCACTGAACTTGGCATTCTAGAGAGAAGTAAGGAATGCGGAGGTAACAACCTTCTGTCCTTCATCATGATGCCATTCCAACGCATAACAAGACTCCCTCTGTTGATTGAGGTGAGTAAATACTTTTTTCAATTTGTAAATAACAATTAAATGAAGGGAAAACCTGGAGGGCAACTAACTTAATGATTTTTTTTTATTCTAGGCAATAATAGCACGACTGGATCCAGAGTCTGCTCACATTGGGCCTGCAACTGAAGCATTAAACCTTGTCAAGAAGGTCAGTATGTTTGTATAATTTTTGTGAGTTTAGATTGTTAAATTATGCAAGTATTAAACCAACATGGTTTTTGTTATGTTGTTTCCATTGTGGTCTTTTTTTAGGTGGCTATTAAATGTAATGAAGAGGCCAGAAGAATGGAAGGAATTGAAGAATTGACAAAACTTGCTCACAAGTTAGATTATAAACCCAACATTAAAGTAAGATAAATGCATCAATATTATTTTTCTCTTCTTAATATTTAAAATAAAATGATTCATATTCAACTGTCAGCTTCAGATTCAATATAAAAACATATTTATTTTGTTTTTATTTTATTTATTACAAGGTGCAAACAATAAAAACATACAGTAACATGATTGAATATATAGTACAGTAAAGTCAAAACAAGTCCTAGGATTGCTTTAAAAGCGAACTAAATCATTGTCTTAAAAAAAAAGCGCTTCAAAAGGACAAGTGCACCAACATTTGTTTGATTTCAAATGGAGAGGGGCCAAAATAATGGAGAAAAAAAATTGTATTCAAATTCTGAGAGTGCCTTAATAATAAAAACATCCTACATTAGCCCTGAGACAACTATATAAACTATATAACAACCATGGTGGGGCTGATCGGAGGTGGGTGGACCCTTTATCTGTGAAAGTTCCTCCCTGGGCTCCCTCTATTACAAGTTGTTAATTGTTGATTTAATTGTTATTAGGCAATCAAGGTAGCTGCCAAGTTGTTAATTGTTTGTTTTAATTGTAATTAGGCAATCAAGATATCGGACAAGTTGCTAATTGTAAAGAGAGGCGACCTTCAGTGGTTCTGCCATGACACTTCCAGGTTCAACAAGAAGAAAGTTGTCTCAAAGCAAATCCACATTCTGGTGTTTGCTGACAAAGTTGTCTTGACAAAAAGAAAGATTAAAAAGTCAGTAGTTTTGTAGTTTTTAACAATAAATTGTGAATGTTTGTTAACAAATATTTATTTAAAAATAAAATAATAATAATAATGCAAGTTTACATCCATTGTGCTTGCTTTATTATTGATAAACAGTTCTGCAGAAATAGGTATAAACAAATTATTTGATTAAAAAGAATTTTAATATACTACAACTTTATTTTGTTTTGCCATTAATTGACTGCCATTTTTCACATTGCTGATCAAAATTCAATGTTCAACCACTATTTTGCAAGTGCTGTTTATATACGTGTCATTTGACCATATTGTATTCCCTTGAACTTAGTGACCGTGAGGTATTTGAAGTGTTTGATTGGTGTCCAAGGAATTTAGTGGACGTAAAAGCAGTTGAGTTAAAGCACGACACATTACTAGAGGATTACAAAAATGTTATGATGGTTGTTTTTCTTCAAAATCATGAGAAAAAGGAAAAGAAATACTTTATCAATACTACAAGCGAGTAAGTATGTCAAAGCCTAAAAATATTGTTTTCCACGTAGGCTGGTGGGAAGGAATGCGTGTAAGAGACAACGCTAAAGGATGGTTCCCAGCCAGCCATGTTCAAGAGATTGTGAATGATCATGTTAGAGCACGCAATTTGAAACATCGTTACAAAGTGCTGTCTGTATGCCAGGAACAACTGGAAATGCTTCAGATGCAAGGGAAAGATCTTTTATTATAATGTATTGACAGTATTCTCATACTGCAGTAAGTACTAAATTACTGCAAGATTCTCACTCATGAGTAAATGTCAACAAGAAATAAAAATACCACAGCCAATTGATGATGAAAGGAACCCTAACATTAGCTTTTGAGACAGCTGAGTTAGTTGCTCAACTACTGTACAATATTATTTAAGAATAATTGCATTTAGTATGTTGTCCAATCATATAAAACGATTTGTTGTAAGATTTATTTGTCCAATTTATGCTTTTTATAAAACAACTCTTAAAATGTATAAACACCATACAGTAGGACAGTAGAATACCACCCCACCGCCCCCCCCCCCTTCCACATTCAGGATAAAAAAGTTCCTCCTTAATAGACTGTCTGGATACACCTATTTAAGGGGGCATGGTAGAAGTGTCCTCGTCGCTGCCCTCTGTAACGCTAAATCAACAGTGACCACACACAATATCAAGTCAACATCAACTTGTATCACCGTTTCCATCATGCCATCTGATGGACCTGTCAGAGTACAATGATTGTACTAGAAACTGTGTCCTGCTCTGGCTGAAACAAGTATTGTATCTAGCAAGTGTGTGGACATAAGAACCTGAATTGTGAAATTGTCCCTTAATATAACGTATACATATAACGATAACATATATATTTTCATAATTTTAGTTTAGTTTAGCTAAGAACCATTTGAAATCGAATCAAAATAATTTGTAACTAATGTTTATAAATGTAATTAAAGAGTAGAACTATATATATTGCTTCATGATTCTAGTTTATAATCACATTTTTTTTTTACAATATTGTGCTTTCTATTGGACAAGAATTTTGTATTTTTATGTTCATAATTGAAATGGTGGAAATAAATGATATATATGATACATTAGGAGTGAAAGTCAGTCCATTGTTTAAGAGCTAAAATTGACAAGATTGGTTAACACAAAGTGCAGTGGCGGATTCAAGGGGGTGCCCAGCTAGGTCGGTGCCCAGCTAGGTCGGCCCCCCCTAAATTTTTAAAAATGGAGGTATAGAGGAAATATATTTTTAAATTTTAAGTCTGAGAATGCAATCTCCGGCCATTTAGAGGTGCCATAATCACCAGTTTTCTTACCTCAGCCCCAACCATGGTTGGGGCTGAGGTGGTATAGATCCTCCATCTGTGAAAGTACCTCCCTGGGCCCCCTCTATGTTGAATTCCTGGATCCGCCATTGTAGTGGAGTAACAATGTGGACAGAATTCCATCAATCCGTATTGGATATAAAAAGGACAACTCAAGTGATTGAAGACTTCGTAGTAGACCGATCGATAGATCGGTCTACTATGAAGTAGATCGATATCCATTTCTAAGATCAACAATTGAAGTTTATAGCTAAAAAGTTGTCAAAATAAAAATTTGATTATTGTATTTGTTGTAAGATAAAATAGTTTTCACTTGGCATTCTTAGGAAGTTTGACTATCCATAATAGGGTTGGTTGTAGTGTTAAAATACATACTCCTCTCTTTTTGCAGAAGTCGCCCCTCAATATGGGTGTCTTAAAGGAAAGGTGGTGGGTTACTGTATGATAAAATGACACAAGTGAAGGAAAATATAGGACTAAAATAAAATTAAAAGCTAATATGTAAAGTGCATGCGGGAGTTGGATATAGACACAACTTTATATTCTAAACATTTGAGGAGCATGTGCATTATATGTAATTGGAACAGCATGCACAACTATGAGCTGAATAATTATTAAAATTGAAAAGATTTAATTTTCACTGGTTTTATTTGCTTTTCTTGTTTTGGTTTTTTTTTTTCTTTTGTTGGTGTAGTTAAATCTCTATTTCATTTAATCCCTGTATTTAATGGCATATCCAGAAGTTTTGACTGGAGGTGAGTAGCACATCGGCACTTGCTTATTGTGGGGGAATCTCCAAATTTTTAGCCATTTTATCTAAATGACTTCACATTTGAATTTTTGGCTACTGAATCCACCATATTTATTCCTTAAGTTCTTGTTGTCATTCATTTTTTTAAAATTATTTCTGTTCATGTCACTTTATCTTCATGGTTGAGGCTAACCTGAAGGTGGACTATTAAGTGAGGGGGTGCTAGGTTGCAAAATAAGGTGATTTCTTTGGCCTTTGAAATTTCCAATTTGGGGGGGGGGGGGAATACACCCTAGATACACCACTGTTGATGCAAGGAATATAGTTTGAGTAATCTGTATCTTTAAAACCTCAAAAAGAAGTCCATGAACTTTTCTATTTAGTAGGACCCTTGGATTGGCTTTTTTTGTTTTAGATTACTTTTGCAAATTAAAGAGGGCTTTTCAAAAGCAATCCTAAATATTTGGAATTGCTACTATAATCACATAATTAAATCCTTTCTGAGCCACTGGGGCTCATAGGGCTGGAGCTTATTCCCAGTTTCTATAATCCCTTATAATAATAAGATTTATAAAGCACATATATCCACTGCAGTAGTTCTCAAGGCGCAATAGGAGGAAGGAACCAAAAATTAGCATGAACCTTAAAGCTACAAGAAAAGAAATGCCACACCACCACCGCACAATTTACAGACAATAAGGCACAGGTGCTCAAGTAATGAGAGTATCTAACTAAAACAATTAAGCATGCAAGACAAACCAGAGAACTAGGAAAAGCAGCCGACAACAGATGCGTCTTGAGAGCTTTTTAGTTCCTATGCATGTAATGCAATAGGAACTATTGTAATCACTCTTGCTACTGTCTCTTATACACATCTTTTCTCACCTCAGCCCCAACCATGGTGGGGCTGAGGTGGTATAGATCCTCCATCTGTGAAAGTACCTCCCTGGGCCCCCTCTATGTTGAATTCCTGGATCCGCCATTGTAGTGGAGTAACAATGTGGACAGAATTCCATCAATCCGTATTGGATATAAAAAGGACAACTCAAGTGATTGAAGACTTCGTAGTAGACCGATCGATAGATCGGTCTACTATGAAGTAGATCGATATCCATTTCTAAGATCAACAATTGAAGTTTATAGCTAAAAAGTTGTCAAAATAAAAATTTGATTATTGTATTTGTTGTAAGATAAAATAGCTTTCACTTGGCATTCTTAGGAAGTTTGACTATCCATAATAGGGTTGGTTGTAGTGTTAAAATACATATTCCTCTCTTTTCGCAGAAGTCGCCCCTCAATATGGGTGTCTTAAAGGAAAGGTGGTCGGTTACTGTATGATAAAATGACACTAAAATAAAATTAAAAAGCTAATATGTAAAGTGCATGCGGGAGTTGGATATAGACACAACTTTATATTCTAAACATTTGAGGAGCATGTGCATAATATGTAATTGGAACAGCATGTACAACTATGAGCTGAATAATTATTAAAATTGAAAATGATTTAATTTTCACTGGTTTTATTTGCTTTTCTTGTTTTGGTTTTTTTTTTCTTTTGTTGGTGTAGTTAGATCTCTATTTTATTTAGTCCCTGTATTTAATGGCATATCCAGAAGTTTTGACTGGAGGTGAGTAGCACATCGGCACTTGCTTATTGTGGGGGAATCTCCAAATTTTTAGCCATTTTATCTAAATCACTTCACATTTGAATTTTTGGCTACTGAATCCACCATATTTATTCCTTAAGTTCTTGTTGTCATTCATATATTTTTTTTTTTTATTATTTCTGTTCATGTCACTTTATCTTCATGGTTGAGGCTAACCTGAAGGTGGACTCAATTATTAAGTGAGGGGGTGCTAGGTTGCAAAATAAGGTGATTTCTTTGGCCTTGGAAATTTCCAATTTGGGGGGGGGGGGAATACACCCTAGATACACCACTGTTGATGCAAGGAATATAGTTTGAATGATCTGTATCTTTAAAACCTCAAAAAGAAGTCCATGAACTTTTCTATTTAGTAGGACCCTTGGATTGGCTTTTTTTGTTTTAGATTACTTTTGCAAATTAAAGAGGGCTTTTCAAAAGCAATCCTAAATATTTGGAATTGCTACTATAATCACATATAATTAAATCCTTTCTGAGCCACTGGGGCTCATAGGGCTGGAGCTTATCCCCAGTTTCTATAATCCCTTATAATAATAATAATAATTAGATTTATAAAGCACATATATCCACTGCAGTAGTGCTCAAGGCGCAATAGGAGGAAGGAACCAAAAATTAGCATGAACCTTAAAGCTACAAGAAAAGAAACGCCACACCACCACCGCACAATTTACAGGCAATAAGGCACAGGTGCTCAAGTAATGAGAGTATCTAACTAAAACAATTCAGCACGCAAGACAAACCAGAGAACTAGGAAAAGCAGCCGTCTTGAGAGCTTTTTTGAACAAAGCAGTAGACTGACATGAGCGAATATTTATTGGCAGCTTATTCCAAAGGCGTGGAGCCGCAACAACAAATGATACAATTACTGAAGACGTTTCTCAACCATGGAATTAAAAATTCTGTTCACTGTACTAAAAAACTTGCAAAAAATAAAAACATCTTTTTCAATTACATTGTATGATGATGCCAGCGACAATCAGTTTGACAATTATGGACCTGTTTCTGCTGAGCAAAAAACATTTGTTTTTAAATGGTCATAAAAACATGTTTTTTCCCAGCAGAAACGGCCCAAAAAACAAAAACACAATTAGGAATGTGTTCTAAAAATGCGTGTTTTCACACGCGTACATTCGTAATAGGATTGGCCTTCAGAAAACGTGTTTCGTGGTTTACTTTTTAGCTGCAACGCAATACCGTGTTAGTCATGACCCGTCAGTGACCCAAACTGCAGGTGTTATATTTTATATAATAATCCTTAGATGTGCACTGCTACTGCATTATGGGCACCGCTACTGCAGGATTTATATTTTATATTAAATCCTTATAGATGGGCATGGAAAAAAAATACTTTGTAAAAAAGGCGGCTTTAATTTCGACAAAAGTATTATACATGTATGTATTAGTTACCCGTATTTTATTTGAAATGTAATATAGATTAAAAATGGAAAAATGAATGAAAACAATAAAAAAAGACAATAAAGGTGGGCGACTCCCACGAAAGACAAAAAGCTTCTGTTTATATTCTTTTGTACTACTTTACAAGGTGCAGTACATACAAAAAAACATAGGCCTAGGCTAGGCCTATATAATTTCACTTCGTTACTTTACACAAGCAGAAAAAAAAAAGGTTCGTGTGTAGGCTAGTGTGTGTTCACCGGAGCTTTTTCGACAATAACATACAATGCTATGTGAAATGAATATTCGATTTCTATTGCTACTTAATTATTCATGAACCTGCAGCTCAGTAGTGGCGGCCATAATTATAACGCTTACCGCACGACGATGGTAGGACGTGGAACGTAATGCCGTCACTAAAAGTGACCTGCGCATGCGAGAATGTTAAGGTCACCTCATTGAGTAGATTCTGGAACGCAATTTGGTTACATCTACGTATGCAGAGAACGTATGACGCCAGGTAGGACGGTCATGCATGAGTGATTCTGTTCTAGCGTTGTGTCGTCGCACAAATCAAAAGCTCCCAATTATAAGCTCCACCCACCTACCAATGCTCGCGTCCGTGTTTTTATTAGTTTTGGCATGTTTTTGGCGTCATTCAGCAGAAACATGCACCTCATAATTATATGTTTTAAGTCCTTGTCCATCTTCGTCATGGGTTGAACTTTTTTCATTTGATGCCAGATCACCAACCTCCTCTGTCCAGAGCTAATTGCCGACTTTGAAGAACAGATGAGAAATGTATTCCAGTTATTATAATGATGAATAGATGAGACATAGTACATATATTTCTAATGAATAGATAGGACAAAGAACTGAAATTATTATTACAGAAACAGATGGAAGAGAAACCACTCAAATTATTGTATGATGATTAGATGGAAAAAAGTACTCAAAGGGAGCTTACTTTGTGATAATGAATTTGTGAGGTCTTTTTTTGATGGCAGACAGTACATCTTTAAGGTAAAATTTTCTTTTCTTTTACAATATAAGTGAGTCAGTTCTTACACTATTACAATATGTATCAACTGCTTAATATTTAAATACAAACATCTATAAAATATCTAAATTTGCTTTCCTAACATCGAGCTATTAAATATATTCTGTGTATGGCAAATATATTCTGTGTATGGCAAATATACTGTATGCAAATATACGACATATTGTTTATTACAATAAATGATAAACTTGTTTTCTAAATAAATGATACTGTATACCACAGTAAATGCTATACTGTATAGTATGTACAGTACTACAGAAAAATATATACTACAATATGAACTACAGTTGATATACTGTACTATATGCACTGCAGTAAATGCTATACTGTATAGTATGTACAGTACTACAGAAAAATATATACTACAATATGAACTACAATTGATATACTGTACTATATGCACTGCAGTAAATGATATACTGAGGCAATGTAATTTTAGTAGTACTACTGTACAATAAATGATATATCATCATCAGGAATAAATAAATGATATATGTACTGTACTACTGTAAAAGAACTGCAATATTCTCATATTTCATTTCAGCAACATTTATTTCTTTCATCTTTCTTTGATATATATATATATACAGTAGAAAATAATTAAATTGAGCAATAATAATAATATCAGAATAACTGTATAACTAATAGCAATTAACATATAAACAATGAAAGAGGCAACAGCCCTGGAAGTAAATTCGGTTTAAAGGTTAAACCGAAACTTATGTCGAGCTAGCCAGATAATAGACAATAACAGTAAATTTCAAAACACATCAAAAACAAAAACAAAACAGACAACAGACAAACATCAGGAAAGATGGAAAAAAAGAGGGCAAATGACACGGAAGCACAGGTTAATAGCAGGACAAATTTTACGGAAAATTAATCATAAAAGGAGAAGAAATGAGTTTTTAATTTATTAAGGAATATAATAATTGAAGGGGCAGATGAAATTTCTTTAGGAAGCTTGTTAAATAATTTCGATCCATTATACCGGATGTTATGCTGTAGGAGTGTTAGCTTGGACTGGAAGAGATGGATTTCATTGGAGGTCCTGGTATTATAAGAATGGATTGAAGAATAATTAATAAAATTGCAAGAGAAGTTTGATGGAAGAAGAGAATATATATTTTTATAAACAAAAAGGCATTGCTGACGTTTATTAATGTCATGAACGGTTAACAAATGAAGATTAGAAAATAATTTGTTAGAATGGGCAAAATGATGTGCTCCGGAAATAAGACGGACGGCCTTTTTTTTGAAGAAGATGTATTTTATTTAGGTTGGAAGAATAGTTGTTAGCCCAGACAATATTGCAATAACTAATATATAGAAGAATAAGAGAGCAATAAATGTTACGAAGAATATGTGATGGTAAAAGAGACATAAAGAATAATCTGTAACCAAACAGAAAAATGATAAAGAATTGGGGCTAACAAGCACCTCGTAAAAACTATGTAAAGCTATTAACAAAGATTTAATGAAACATCTATATACTTACTGAATTTTTACTGCACATCATGAAGCCTATTTGTCCACTGGGGTAAGTTGGTATAGTACAATATCCGTAGTCAACAACTGGAAATAAAGTGCGGCAAAACATGTGCATCTTCTTAATCAAATCAAGGTGAAGCCATATGCACTCTCCTGCAAACAAATATACACAAAATCCAACTAACTAACAGTCTGGTGCCGTTTCCAAATATCTAGGTTCCTATTTTAAAAACTTGTAAACCTAAGCCCCGACCATGGTGATGCTGAGGTAGGTGTGGATCTGCTTGCTGACACCACCCTCTCCAGCAGAAAATTTCTGGATCCACCACTGGATGAGGGATGACAACTCTCTCTAAAATCTTGCCCAGTGAAGAGCACAGAAAAATATGCCTGTAATTTCTAGTGTAACTGTGATCACCAGATTTGTAGATTGGAATCACATGGCCATCTTCTAGTCGTTAGGCACAGTAGTTAATTAGCCGAGCCAGGTGCTGTCAGGTGTAAATGGCTGATGTCAGCTTTGAAGTACAGTATCAGCACCATCTGGATCAGAGGCTTGCCAGTCTTTTGTTTTGTTTTGTTTTGTCAGCAAACTGTAACTTCTAAAAACATATTTATAAGAAAGTTTCAAACCGACTCACATGCTTTGTCAGACCCAACCAGATTATTTGTTAAATAATAAGTCTTTCCAGGAGCCATTAAGGATCATAGGGACTGGAGTTGGTACCCATATTTTGTAGCGCTAGGCTGATGAGAATGTAATATTTTGGGTTGCAACCAGTAATAATCACTTCATTTGAAACAACGCTTTTAAAAAGGTGTAAAACTACTGTATGAATACCAGACATTTAAACACTCAGTGGCAGCACTTATTGCAGGGTTCAGGGCATAGCCCAGGTAGGAGGTCACAGGAAAGCCTCTACTATCTAAAAAAACTGTGAAATTTTGGGCTACTCTGAGATGTTTTAAAACATACTTTACCAAAAAAGATTTTAAATTATAAAAAAATGATTTTTTTTTTTCTGTTTTGGTCTGCCACATCATTACCAACAGAAGGAGGGTGGGGGTGGGGGTAAATCTACCTATTACTGGGGTACTTAAGCCCCTTCTGCTGCCAGTGAATGATTGTAGGTGCTAGGCTATGGCCTACAAAGCAATAGTTAATTATTATACCTATCAGTGTAATATCATTATAAATATTATTTCAGTAAAATATGATTAACTATTACAACCATTATTATCTTCCATATAATTCAATCAATGACAATAAGATTCATGACTATTATATTAAAATCCTAAAAGAATTACCTTGAGTGCACACAATACCACCCTCTCTCAATGCATCTTTCATTAATATATAGTAGTCTTCCTGAAAAAGGACTTCTGCTGGCCCTGAAAAAAATGCAACAATAACTTGTTAATTTCATAACACACTATTGAAAAACCTTAAAACTGTATAAAAGCAATTAGAAAGTTAATGTCACACCAAACTCGCAAGTGAAATCCTCCTGGGGTAATGTCTGATACGATTGTTCCTTTATTTGAGCACCGTTTCTACCATTATTTGATTATTAAATTGAGTTAGTGTCACACTAAAGGTGAACTGAAATGATGAGGCATAATGAGTTAACAGACAAATAATAGTACACTGCAAAACAAGTTAAAATATAAAAGTAAAGTCTTTAATAAATAGAATTCAATATGCATCTTCTCTTGCCCTCAACAACATAATGGTTCTTCCCGACGGTTTATCGTTGCACATATAACGTAACTACTCAACTCCCTTGGTATCGGTCAGTAACAGGCGCATGCACAGGTACAGACACAGGTGGCACTATAACAAAATCAATTTTCTAATAACTACCATTCATTTCATTACAATTAATCATTTAGACATAATTATAACAATTCACTAATTGATAAAACATAAATAATGAATCATCTAGATTGAGGGCTGTCTTGATGACACCTCACTTACGTGACCGTAAGTAGTTTGTATCGTTTGAGGTGTGTCGCATGACTTAGCATATCTTGTTTTTATACGGCAGTACACCTCACACAAAGATTACGCTAATTAAAGTCATGCTTAATTGCTTCCATTATAAATACACAAATTATAGCGCTAGATGATCGTTTTAACCGTGACAGTATGTATATATGTGCATATAGCCCTTCAAATAAAAGCTCCTATATTTAGTTGTATGAGAAAAAAGTGTCTCTGGCGGGATTTAAACATGAAACCTCTCTCTATCACAGCGAGTATCATACCCACAAACCACAGAGACCTATAGGTCTCAAACTTTTTTAGGTGGTGACCCACTTTCAGACTCCCTTTTCTTTTCTGATCAAAAATATAACTTAGACTAGAAATTGCAAATTGCAAGTGAAGTGCTGCAAAGTACAACTGCATAAAATGTTCTTCGAACAAAATTATTTATGCGAGTCAAGTGAAAATAATGAATAATAAAAATATAACAAATAATACCATTGTCTATATATTATTAGAACAGCGTTGGTACAATAGTGTTTTGCTGCAGTGACATCTCTCTGCTGGCGATGGCTCGCTGCTGCTGGCGATGACTCGCTGCTGGC